CCACTTTAATACAATAATAATAACAATGTAAAGAAAATAACCATTACCTTCATTTACAACGAAGTTAAACATAAGTAAATCAATTTGCTTCATCTCTTCCTAGAAGAGTTCTTCTCTTCAGGCAAAAGGAAAATAGGAAAACAATTAAGCGTTACAAGCGGCTACTATGAAGGGATACATAGAGTTAAACAAAGCCATAACACTGTATTTGCCATATATCAACTGTTATTTCAGGCATATTGCAAATATTTTTTCTCCCTTTTTGTTACAAATAACATCTTATGACAAGTAAAGATAGTTATACCTGTGTAAATGGAGTATACGCCTTATTTTGACCAACTTGCATTTAAACTTAACTATATAGTCCTCCCACGCTCTAAATTGCCAATCTCTATAAACAGCTGCCAACACCTTACCACATACCACAATGGAAAATTGCTAAATAGAAATGATTTGGTGCTGCGCTAATAAATAAATATATCACATAATCAAGATGTCAAAAAAGAAAAAAAAACCTCACAAATTTGAACATCTAAAATAGAATTTTCAAAAAATATAGAATAGAATGCACATGAAAAATCCAAAATCATGGATAACCGTGAAATACCCCCAAAATGATCAATCTAAGGCAGCAATGGGCAAACTACGGCCCGTCAGACCTTTTAATCCGGCCTGCGGAGCGTGGCAAACATTGGCTGTCAGGATGTAGGCGGGGCAGCGTAACGAACGTGAGGGGAGCTAGGCTCCTCTCACAGTCCGCCCTGAAGACCGGAACGGCGCGGGAACACGGCGAGAGGAACGCGCGGAGCAAAGGTAAGTGAATTGACACAATATGGGGGATGAATTATTACTATATGGGGATGAATTACTATAGGGGGGATTAATTACTATAGGGGGGATTAATTACTATATGGGGGATGAATTACTATATGGGGGATGAATTACTATAGAGGGGATGAATTACTATGGGTCCGGCCCCCGGGTCCAATATATGAACCCATTGCGGCCCTCAAGTCAAAAAGTTTGCCCACCCTGATCTAAGGTGTAACCTAGGTACACCATAAATGATAAATAGGTGACCATTTATGGTTAGTAAGGATTGTCACCTATTTATCATTTATGGTGTACCTAGATTACACCTTAGACTTAAAATTTTGGGGGTATTTCACTGTTATCCATGATTTTGGATTTTTCATGTGCATTTTATATATATATATATATATATATATATATATATATATATAATATTTATTTTTTATATTTATGAATATTATATATATATATGTTAAATATGCAAAGTTTTTTTTTTTTTTTTTTTTTCTATTTTATATGTTCAATGTTTTTTTTTTTTTTTTTTTTTTTTTTTTTCTTGATTATGTGATATATTTATTAGCACAGCACCAAATAATTTCTAATTTGCATTTAAACTTGCCTGTGTTTGCTTCCTGCACCATCATTAATTCCTGCAATTTGTCACTTGAATGTGTACCACCTTGACTTCTGTAGTGATCTGTAGAAGTCTGTTTGCAGTGACTACCCTGCATTGTGTGAACAGTAGTATATACAGTCAATTAATATGTGGCCTTGAACAGGATTTAGTAACAGTATTTATTCCCCTACATGCTTAGAATTGACTACAAGAGGTAATGTAGGGACATGTGTGATTTAATTCAGGTTCTTCCCATTATCTAGTAGCTTGCGGTTCACCATACATACATTAGTTGGCTGTGTACGCTGTCATCACTTCCCATCAATTACACAGGGTCAGGCTCATGTGTCAAGGAGTACTTGTCTGCTACATGTCATGATTAATCTTTAGCAGCATGCAAACTCCTCTGAGATTATCCTATTCTGGGTTTCCAAAGAAATGTTTTGTTGAGTGGGCACGGACTAGTCTGGTCTGTTTTTCCTAAGTTGGTCGACGTCTTAAGCAGATCTTGCTGCGTAATATACTTTTTGGTGTTTAATTCATGAATGTGCTATTTTGGGCTGGACACAGACAGGTGCAGGTATCTGTATCCGGAAGCTTGTTTCAAAACTATATCTGTTCTGATCTTTCACAGTTGCCTGCACGTACTTTCTGTATGCAGATAGCAGCCGGAACTCCAAAATAAACACTTTGGTTCACCCACTCCTGCACCTCGCCAAAGAGGCCTCCTGAGATATTGGGGGGCAGACCAAAATCTGTTTTTGGAGCAAGCTACATGAATGTGCAGGGACCTGCTAGCTTCTAGCATTATCATTCTGCTGGCACTTTGCATCATTAGAATCTATAGCACAGATACACTTGGTGGTTCTAAAGTCTGAAGGTTTTTTACCTTCATGCATTCAGTACATGATGGTAAAAAACCTTCAGTGTGCAACTCCCTCTACCCCAGTACTCACCTGAGCCCAATTGCAAATCAGCACTGTGCACGAGAGCAGCAGCTCCCTCTGCTCTCTTCCTCCTCATTGGCTCAGAGACAGCAGCGGGAGCACTTGGTCCTGCTGCTGTGAATCACAGCCAGTGATGAGGGAGCAGGGGGCGGTGGAGCTGAGCATTAATCTGCATCTGTCACTGCAGCCTCCAAGAGTGTAGTAATTAATTGGCCATCTAGGTACAGCAACTGTTGTATGAGAACCCCAGATCTCTCTTCTGACCCATGTGTACCAAGTCTTAAAGCCCATCACAGGGCAAATCTTGAAACCTCCCATCATGTATTCAGCTTTTTTTTTTTTTTAAATGCCCGCTGGAGCACGATTAGCCACATCAGCACTAGAGCAATATTTTAATTTGTTTGCACTCATGGTAAAATTCAGCATTTCTGGCTAAACAAATTGCTTAAAGCCCCTGAAACGCTATATATTTCTGAAAGCAAAGGACCTGTAGAAAAAAGAAGTTGCTGAAATTTTTTTATTTCACACAACTGTTTATTAAACGTATTTTAAGGTAAAAATATAAAATGAGTTTTGATGCTCAATTATTGGTAAAATATAACAGATAACTTACCTTGAGTAAATGGATAGCAAACATGCCAAGTCTTAAAATTGTGTACGCCCATGATATCTCCTTAAATCGTGTACCTCATAACCTCCATAGGCGATGCTTTAAAAGCCCTTACAACTCATCAATATAGAGTGGACTGTGATCTCTGGTGCTAAAATTATTACTCTGATGTTCAGGGCGATTCTTTACATGTGTAGTGCAGTCAAGGTATACACACACTTGTGTTCCCACTGCTGTGTCTGAACCAATGAGGAGGATGAGATCCTCTGCTCTTGTGCACATCGCTGGATTACGATCAAGGCGAGTGCGGCCCTTTTGCTTGCTTTTTTTTTTTTATTCGGCCCTCGGGGTGTTATTCTCCCCCACTGTCAGCATCAATGTGGCATAGTTCCTGTCACTGACAATTAGAAACTATTCTTCCCACAACACCAATGATGGGGCACCATTCTTCAATTGAATTGATCAATTTGATGCCATTGATGGAACACTATTGATACTAATAAGGCACTATGACTCCCATTGATACCAATGAAGGGGCACTATGACTCCCATTGATACCAATGATGGGGCACTATGACTCCCATTGATGGAACACTACTGATACTAATAATAAGGCACTATGACTCCCATTGATACCAATTGACTACCCAATGTTGGGGATACATTGGCACTTTCCCCATTCCCATTGGGGACATTTTCTTCTCTCCCACTGGCCATAGTCGGGCCCCCTAAAGTTTGAAAGCCAGTAAACTGGCCCTTCGTGTAGAAAGTTTGGAGACCCCTAGTTTTGAAACTTGGCTTCTTGCATTGAATGTTAATGGGAGACTCGGCCTGTCCTTAGCCATGAGGTTGCAGCCTGGAAAAATATCACTCTGCTTTATTATCTGTTCCATCCTCGGAATCCACTTTTGCTCCATCAGATGTGGCTGTTTTTTTTTTTTTTGTTTTTTTTGTTTTTTTTTTTTACCATGATCATTCAATATTTCATGACTCTCTCACCCAGTTATTTGCTAACTGATTGCAGAGTCCACAAGCTCGCTCCTGTGTCCTCTCTTGCAGATTTTATATGGGATTTGTCACAGCCTTAGAGGCTTAAAGGTTTTAACCTTTTTTTCAATATTTCTTCAATTGCTTCCTGGTTTCTGCCCTAGGCCAGCATGGTGTTATACATCCCAGGAGTCTTCATGTGCTTTTTTTTTTTTTTTCTTTCATCTGGAGGAGGGGCTTTCTCAGATCAGCACACTCTCCAGTCTGCATACCTGAGCTATGGGCAGATGGATTCCAGGAAGTAGATGCTACATGAATCAACTGCCCTTACTTAAGATGGTCATGGCTAAAAGTGGTAGGGGGTGTTTTTTTTTCTAAGGGATTTCTCAACATTAAAAAGCTTGGAGATATGGATGGATGGGTGTTTGCTTTGTATATTAAAACTGAATTAAATTGCTCTTTCATTTTGTGGTGCTCAGATACAGTTTAGTTGCGCTTTAATCCCCAATGTTTCCTGTCAAGAAGGCTATCATAAGGAAAATATTATGGCTGCCTTTGCTGGCCTTTTCCTCTTCTTAAAACGCTAGTTGCCTGGAAGTATTCAGAGGCAAGTATCAAAAGAGCAGGGCCCTTCGATCCTCTCATGTTTTGCATTGTATTGGTATTGTTCTGTCACATGTTCTGTCCCCCTCTGTAATGTACAGCGCTGAGCGAACTATTGGCGCTTTATAAATACTGTATAATAAATAATAATAATAATAATAAGTATAGAGGCAAGTGAGGATTTTCTGAGATCTAAAAGGACAAGGCTTTTGAAATGCAAAATGCCTAGACATCATATGGCCTGCTTCTGAAGAAAAACCAACTGCAGCATTTTCTCCACTAAAGGTATTTCAATTGCTCTTGTTCTCTGTTCATACATTGTAGCTTGACTGTTAACGTAGCTTCCAGTTAACATTTTCGGTACCCCTTAATGTACACACTAGCTGTTTTTAACGCTTCTGGTCATTTTTTTTTTTCTTGTTTCCACAGTCTAAGCTATGGAGCTGGACACCCATCTCATTCAGAAACAGATCTTCTTCACCGACAGACCTATGCAGCCACCCATCAGCTACCTGCATACGCTACAGCACACCATCCTACAGGTATTTCATGATAAGTCAAAGCTCCAAATTACTTCACATCACTCTTGCTTGTTTGTAAACTAAATCTGTATATGGATGATGTTGCAGTAACTTTTATATATTTATATATTTTTATATATTTCCTTATATTTCCTATTAAAATTTAAGTCTCATTTAAACAAAAAAAAAAAAAAAAAAAAAAAAAACTAAAAAACCTCCAAAAACAGGATGTTATTTTAAAATGAATTGCTGTTTAAAGCTGAACGTTTGGCAGACTGCTAAATTCACAGTTAATATTCATAAACTATATGCTGAATAATTTGTTGACACCTGACCATTGTACCTATAAGCTTGATGAACATTTATATGGAATATCCTCCTTTTTTGCAGCTATAATGGCATCCACTGTTCTGGAATACGTTTCTACGCAATTTTCAAGTGTATCTGTGGGAATTTCTGCCTTGCCTGCCAAAATAGCATTGGCAAGGCCAGGTACTGATATCAGCTGGATGAGAAGACCTGGCTTATAATTTCTTTCAGTTCATCCAAAAGTTGTTGAGGTCAGGGTTCTGTGCAGGACGCTTGGGTTCCCCACACCAAACTCTGCAAACTGTCTTTATGAAACAATCTTTGTTCACGCAGCTGCGGTCCTGCTGTAATCGGAAAAGTCCTTCTCTAAATTGTTGCCGCAAGTTTGGAAGTGCACAATTGTCTAAAATGTCCTTGTATGCTTTAACATATAGGGCCGGTTTACACTATAGAAACGTAGTCCATATGCGTTCCGGATACGTTTTTCTCATGTTTTTCTTTTTTTTTTACGCGTTCTGGTGTGTTTGACACGTTCCAGTGCGTGTTTTTAATGCATTTCAGTTCATTTTTCCCCTCTTTTTCCTCAACTTAAATAAGGAAATGTGCCTTCCAATGCGTTTTTAGTACGTTCCAGTGCATTTACTGTTTTTCCAGTACATTTCTGTGCAGAACAAAATGCAGCATGTTGTACTTTTTTTTTTTTTTTTTTCTCTGCACTGGAACTGCAAGCACTGATGTGAACTATGACATTGACAACCATATAGCCTACTTTCTATGCGGTTTTTTGGATGCAGAAAAAACACTGAAACGCATTTAGTGTGAACTGGCCCTTACAGTACCCTTCACTCTAAACTAAATAGTTTGGTTGGGTGTCCACATCATTTTGCCTGTATAGTATGTGTGATGGTCAAGCTGCCAAATGATTTGCATTTCTGTCCCATCTTCGCCTGAGATTTACACACAGCACAATCACATTAACATGTTGGTGGTCTGGCTTTTTTTTTTTTTTTTCTCCAGTTAATGTTTATCTCCTTCCTGCTGCCTACCTGCCATTGGACAGTAAAGAAATATTAGCAGGCTGTTAATGTCACTCTTTTTAGCTATCTCTTGTTAGATTGTTCATTCAGCACATTTAATTGGCTCATATTGCTGGCCCTCCCTCTTCCAGTCTTAAGTCAATGGCACAAGGGATTGCAGCAGTAGAATACTAGAGCTTAGTACACACTGTGAGGTTTTTTTTTTTCCTGTTCAACCAGTGAGCTGAATTTCAGGTACTTGATGTAGCTGCATTTACGGATATATTAATACATAACTGCATTTGGGGCTCTTCTTATCTGCCTGGATTTCTGCTTTAAATACAAGCAGTTAGCAATTTAAATTACACCATAACGAAACACAATTTAGCATCCCCATTAGAAAGCTCATTTGTTAATTAGGACTGATCTTTTCCCTGTTCTAAAATGGGCCTGTCACGGACATAGCACAGAACAGTTCAGCTGGAGCTGCATTATCTGGATTCCTTTGATCTCAGCTGATATCCAGAGGGTGGAGAAGGGCTGTGCTTGTGCAGTGTATTCTCTGCAGGAGCAGAGAGAAGGAAGTGAGCTGTCTACTGGCGGCTCATTTCCTGTACACCAGCTCCGATATCTTGGCTAATTGGGTGCGGAACCTTCACCAGCTTCAATTCACTCTGGTACATTGGTGGCACAGTTTGACTTGAATCCGAAATGTTTTAATATTGTTTAATTTGTACATGTATATTTATTGTCAGTGTTTGGTTCTAAGTCCATTCGCTATACAATTTTCCCCAGTTTTTGATGTTAAATTTGGGATCAGAGGTGTGGTTGACATATACAACTGATTTGAGACTATGTATACATTGGTATCAAATTATTTTTGAGAGCATAATGTTTACATTGGTGTTGAATTAATTTAATGTAAGTGTTATTGCAGGGTACTAGAGGGGACAAACTAGGATTTGCTGTTTCCATGGCAGCAATATTTCCACTTCGGCTCTCATACCTGTACACCCTCTATGGAGCAGAGCAATTTTTACATTTCTGCTATGATCCTGTTTGAAAGTAATTATGGCATTACCTAAGATAACAAAGTTATATATATTGTTTTTTTTGTTTTGTTTTTTACGGACATACAATCTTTTTGTGATATTGCCTTGCAAAATTGATATCTTAATCATACAGTACAGGACACAGGCAACATATGCATACACCTTGAGTAATAACCGCATACTTTCAGGTGATTGGACGCTGGCAAGCTTTTGAGGACACCTTCACATGAGGCGCCTCCCCTGTGCCTCTGCCCCACTCTGAATCCTCAGTTTTGTGCTAGTGTCTGAAGGTGGTGAACGTTTTCTTCTTCGCAGGGAACTCCACTAATCTGCTTTATTATTTTTCTATATTATTTTCTTTGAATTCTTCAGTCAATACCTTACTGTCTTCTAATGCCTACACAGAAGCAGTGTACATGGATCGGTGCAACCTCGGTAAATCCTTGAGTCATACCCAGACCGTACACTGTCGGATTGGCTTGTAATATTTCCTTCAAGTATTGGATCCTGCAGTCCAGGGCCATGGTCCATCGCCATGTGCCCAGACCCTGAAGATCCCTTCAGGTGTATGCCCACAAGGATGGGCGAAGCCTTGATTTTATATGCATTCCAGTGCCGTTGAAGGTAGGACAGGCTCACCCTGTATCCGGACAGTTACTGTAAAAATAGGACTTTTTTTGGAATGTATTCTCTTCACAGTGCAAACTTGGTGCTCAGACTCAGGTGGATGACCAGGTGTTGCATCACACCACTGGTCACACACTTGACGCCACTTCCACATAGAGCCCTTATAACATACTAGAGTGCTTCATTACAGAGTGGTGTACAGTTGTGTTACTTTATATTCCTTCTAGACATGCTTACCTTAATCCCCCCCCCCCCCCCCCCCCCCCCACCACACACACACACACACACACACACACACACTTTACTCCATGAGTATCCCCTAGGGGGTCTGGAGACCAGACCTTAAAAATTGCAGGCAAACATTAGTTCTGTCAAAGGCCCACACAACACTCATCCATGTCCGGTGACAATGAGTCCCTTGCACTGGAGCAGGACGGGGTTTTAACACCAATGTCTGGAATCCGATTTAAGCTCTATTATAGGCCTGCAACATGCAGACTTTTCTGTATCTACTATATGTCAATTCCTTGAACCGATTACATTCTTACTACAGCCATCTTCGTCCAGGGCTCCATAACAGGTCTGTTCTCACACTCCCAATTCTCAAGCCAAGTTGGATACCGATATGCTGGTCCTAGAGGTTTCAAACAGAAGGAAATGAAGACGATATTGAGGCAGTATTGGAGGAAGCTGTGGGAGATTTCTCTTACTCAAACTGCCGTTCTAGTGAAGGAGCTCCATGAAACTTGTGAACGTTGAAAAGCTAATTACTTCTGTCCTCAAGAGCCTTGGCACTTATCCGTCTCACCATATACCTCTTGGGTACCGAAAAAAAAAAAATCCTGCAAAATATTCCTGTTCATCAACAGAATTTGTAATCTATGAAGACTGGGTAAAGCCAGAAAGGATTTTCACCCCCCCACGAAGTCTTTGCTGATCGCTATCCAGTGGAAAAAAAGTTTGCAAAGAAGTAGGCTATTCATGTGGCTGATCCTGCAATCTGTTATAACCAAACATCTCCTTATACCTATTGAAATTGCTTCTTATTTCAGAGATTCTGCAGACAGAATTGTTTAAAATGCTCCTAAAAGCTCTTTGATCTTGCAAGCCCAACCCTGCAACCAGCTCTCACTGCCATTTCTGTATGTCAAACTGCATAATATATCTGGATCTAATAAAGCTTGCAGTAACAGACTTGAAAATGCATCTTGCCTTTGCTTCCTGTCTTCGTATGTCCTCCCCTCATCCATGTGACATAAGTAACCAAAAAAATATAGAGTGCAGTATGCTGAAAATAACAGTATCCCTACTTCAGTTAAAATTGTGCTTACATTACTATGAATAAAATGTGCCACCGCCTTAGTGCTCCCATGCACACCACCATCCCCATTGTCTATCTACTTATATCTAAAAATGTCATCTTGCACATATTTAACTTTCTTGACCAATCTTGTTCAGTAAAATCCTTGTTTGTCGATGATTCACACAAAAAAACAAAATTACTATAATAGTGTAGTATAGAACTTGACAAATTTTGCTTTGAATCTAGGAGCCAGCTAAAAAAAAAAGTTAGATTTTACTTTTAGCGTAGTGTGGGTTGTCAGGAACCTGGGCAAGGCAACTTTTGGGCAACAAGCTTCACATGATGTGATTTGCAGCGTGGCAATCACTGCAAAACCGCACCACGTTTTAGGTGCCATTGAAAAGCGTGACACCTGAACCTGCGTTTTGGTATCACAGCAATTCTGCTGCAATCCTAAATGCCCAGGTGTGAATGAAGCCGCCCTGGTTCACATGTGTGGTTGTGGATACGTTTTCATATTCAGATTCGCATGACAGACTAGATATTAAGTGTTCCTATTGAGGCAGTTCACACAGATGCGATCCACATGCATTGTATTTTGAATGCCATTACGAAAAAGGGTCCTGTGCAAGTTTGTAGTGGTGCATTCCAGACTCACAAGTGGTAGAGTGGCATGTGGAGATAAGTGTTCACATAGGATTGCTATTGACAGGA